TCAGAGAAAAGGGAGAAAAACAAAAGAGAGACAATAACATGAAGACAAGCCCTTGGACATTTGGTTGAAGAAACTATACTTTTGAGGCGAGGCAAGTAACCTAGTTTAATCTTGAGTGTCGAAGCAATCAAACTTAGGAGAGCCTGCACTTGTTGACATGTAAACTTTTGATAGTGAGATTAATCCAAACTACAAGAGGGTGAGGGCTACAACTATGTAAACTCCTAATTTTAGAACACAACCCCCGGATAATTGAGTGAAAAGAATAAGTTTGGGGGGTTGTATATCTCTCGAGAGAGCAAGGATACATTTGACCACTTGGGGTCGGGACTTAAACTCATCATGAACCTGATATGTTGGCATGAATTCACACAAACGTCAAGTATGCATTTAAAAGGTAAGGGTTAATGTTATTTTTGCACTGATAAATTTTCATAAAGTCAAATACTTAGTCCAATCCTGAGCCGCAATAGGGTATTAAGCCATGTTTGTTCAGAATTAAGTTACTATCTTGTTTGAGGACAAATAATAGTTCAAATTTGGGAGGTTTGATAAGTGGGTTTTTGCAAATTTATTTGTCACAAATAAAACTTAATTACGAGCAAAATGATTGAATTGTCACTTAATTTCGTTATATTTGTGAATTTTAGGGAACACCGATGAACATGATGAAATTTAAGAAAAAAGACGCGAAAAATGACTAAAATGATGCAAGGTGAAAGTTCAGGGACCAAGGTGCAACTATCCAAAAGTTGACCCAATGAACAAATCAAGAAATTGATTGAGCCAAATGCCAATTGATGATATCTTGGGATGACGGAATGGAAAGAATGAAGAAAAGATGTCAAGAAGTGAAAGATTCAAGTAAAGGGACAAAATTAGAATAAATGAAAGTTAGAGTCTACCATGCAGCCAAATGATAGAACTCTCGCGCGGTCGCACGAACAAGTGCAGGGAATTCTGGAGACAGCATGGCATAACCATGCGGCCGCACAAGTTAAAGCCATACGGTCGCATAGTAGGCTTTCAACACGAAAATTTTACTTTCCTTATAGATTGAAACTCTTTTGGTAACTTAATTTTCACGCTATATAAATACCAAAAGACGTCCAGAAAGAGCAGAACATAATTGGAGGCAGAAAAACACTTCTTGGAGAGGATTTTGAGCGCAAGAACGAAGATTGGGACAAAGAGCTTCAAGATTTCATAACCCGGTGATGCCTTTTATTCAAAACCTGATGTATTTCGTTATTTCAACTATGTTAGGCTAGATTCTCATGTGCTATGAGATCGATGTACCATGTAATTAGATCTTTAATTTTCTAGTTTTGCAATTTAACATAAAGACATATTTCTATTGTTTTGAATAATTTATATGCAATTATTGTTTCCGCAATTAAGGGCTCGTAATTGTGTGAGTTTGGGTGATTTATTCTCGCATTCGAGAGAATTGAAATAGATTCGACATAATATAAATCATCGTAGGGTCCGATAGGAAATAGAAATATACCGCTATACCCTACGTGAATCTTAAATGTTCATAAAATTGCATGCATTTTTATATATGCACTTGTCATAGAAATATAGGCCGGTGGTATGTAGAAATAGGTTCAATACATCTCGAGAGAGAGTATTGGATAGATTTAGGACCATTGATTCGTCAACAATTGAAGTGTGTTGTCATATTGTGAAACTAGGGTTTAAAGTGATAATTGCATGAAAAATCGCGATCCTAGTGTATTTAATTTTTATTGATTACAACAACGTGCGTTCTCAACATTTGATTTCATTCTAGAGTGTTAAAATATTGTTTTGCATACTAATTTTAATTTAATCATAAAATTCGCATAATTAGGGTTTCTTTCCAAAATTAGGGTTTAATTAGGTCTACATTCACTTTGGTAATTTAGTTTCGGTTAAGGCTATGATAGATAAAATTTAAACTAATCAATCTGTGTGGGACGATATTCGGACTCATTTAATCCACTTTATTACTTGTTAACGAACCGTACACTTGCAGTAGTTTTAAATCGAAAGAAAATATTTCATGAACAAATTCCACTAAATTGCATTTTGGAATCTCGATTTATAGCAAAAAACTATTCAAAGTTCCTAAAACTCCTTGTAAGGCTTGTTGGAAAATACGTTGTCGGAATGTGAAAAATATATCACAGGGGTGGATTCGAAATGAAATTGTCAAGTCACCCATAACTCTTAAGTCAAAACAAGAATAATATTGGGTTAGAGTTTTGGGTCACAGATGAAATTATCAAACAATAGAAAGCAAGTGGACTGGATTTAACCATCACTGGCCCAAGTATCATCATATCCGACATTGGACTTGATTTTGTCATCACAGCCCAACACAACGTTTGGAAATGCTAATTGGTTGTGCTTGTAAGCAGGACTACTTTTTCAGATTCACTCAGCATTTGCAATCATATCAGAGGGCTTCTTACACAGAGATCTTTGTCAGTATTCAGGTCTATCTCCCGATGTCTTGCATTTAGTCTAGATTTGCAACTTTTGTCGTTGATGAACTTATCAATTCTTTATCCACTTAAATCTCCAAAAATCTTCAGTCAATAGTTACATATAAGAAGTAACATGTAGACGTTTTTAGATGTTGGCAGCATGTATTGTGTCATTTGTCGCTGTGATGGCTAATGTTGGCTCTCATGGACTTCTGTGCCTTGCCCACGTGGTCGTCTTCTAAGGTACAAGAATGAGAGGAGGGTGGGAGATTATGCTTAAAGAAATACGCGTGCCCAGAGGTGTAAACGGGGTTGTGCCTGGCTCGTGAGCCCATGCCAGCCCTGAACTTACGCGTAGTCCATTCCCAAGAAACATTTTGTTTTTTTCTCGAGCCATCAGAACAGCCCAGATGACCCATGCCCTGCCTTGGGACAGGCTTGGCCGTCTTTGCCTATTTTTCCACCTCTATGCATAGGTGTGCTCAGACGCGCATATACAGAGATAGAGAAAGGGGATTGGGACGGTTGGCATACCAATGTAAACTTTCTGGTACTCTTCTTCACTTCTTGGATGAGTGCACTGCCAATATAGACTCTCAAACAGCTTCTAGTCTACAGAAAGTAATTTCTCCAGAATCCGAAGCAAAACTGTTATCACAATTGCTCATAGGATATCGACAGTTCCGATCATGGACGATATACTTATTTTGGATCAAGGGACACTGGTAAGATTGTTCAGTGTCTGACATTTTACATCCCCGTTCTTGCAACATTCATTTAGATCATTTTCAGTCCCTGCGGGAGGAAGGAACGTGCTTTAGACTTTTAGTTCACTGCACGTGCAAGATTATTTAAGAGAAACGATGCATTCAACTTCGAACCTGCAATATCTGTAAGGCAAAATCTATAAAGTACCATAGTTTCTGTGCTTTGAAAGAGTTCTTTTCCTAATTGAAACACCTTACGAGAAGAGTGAAAAATTCACGAATGGAAAAGTATTTTGGTGAATTATGACTGTAATAAAAGAATACTTATCAGCATAAAGGCCTCTTATAGAACTATCGTTATGGTGGATTAAACTTGTACGATCTAGTATTGCATACCATGCTCTTTCTATATACGAGTATCATTAATTGATTGTGGTATACAATTACACGGTTTGACGTGATTAATTAGTCAATCATGAAGTACTTACATCATTTTAAGCTATTTTCTGGATCTCCTTTGCATGTTGAACAAGGCAATCCACAATTACTACTGTGCAGTGAATCCTCAAGATTCTCGTGTTTTGCCAGGATTTCAACATGTAATTTCCCGCAGACTAATGATATTCTCACTATACCTGCCTACTATCCTGCGAAACCACAGTCAAGAGCATGAGCTTGACAAATGAAAAAGAGAGTGGATTTTGGGCAGGAAAACATTAGCACGCCATATGTAGAGTGGAGCCCTTCAAATTAGTGGTCTAAGATTGCGACAAGTCAATCCTCTCTCTCCTTGTTGACCCGGGTGTCCTAATTCAACCACATTAAGGATTTCAAAACATGGGAGTATGCCAAATTTGATTTGTTTTGCCATTCCCTTTTTGTTTTTATGTGACCTTCCAATTCCACAAAAGTGTGCTTGTCTGCGCACGCGCAAAAGAGAATCTTAAGAATATAATTTTGTTTGCATAATAATTGGATAGAATAGCGTCAATTTTTTCGCAATGGGAGATACGAATACGATAGCTACAAGTTTGTGTTAAAGATTAGGGCTGGGGACGGTTCTGTTCGGTTCTCGTTAGAATCAAATCGTATCCAAAATTTTTGAATACTTAGTAAGTGGAACCGTTTGGGTTCGATTCCATTCGATTTTCAAGTTCAGTACTATAATTAATTTTTATTATTATTTATAAACTTACATTAATTCAACTAATAACATGTTTAATCTTAACCCTTACAAAATAACGTGTCCAATTTTATGTGTCTTTTACATCTTTCTTTGTTGAGTTCTTCATAAATTTGGTTGTGAAAATCATAGAAAGAGGATGATAGCGAACTTATTATAATTAAGAGAGACGCTATCGAGTTTCAATTTGATTTCTGCAGAACTGTAAAAACGGTACTATAGTAGAATAACATATTTGAGTAAAACTTAGGTCAATTTAATTAAGTTGGACTTGGATTGATAATTAGAAATAGGAAAATCATATTTTTGGATTAGCCAATTTATTTAGAAAAAAATTTAAAATAATTTGGCTTATTTAAAAAATTAAGGAGGTTCGATTTTTATTCGTTTTTTCGGTTCTTGATAGAACCTAGAACCGAACCCATCGGTTTTTAATTCAGATATCTGTTTGAATATTTAACTTAAGATTCTTCGATTTGATTAGGGACCAATTCGATTCGATTTGATTTGGAAGTTTTGCCCTAGTTAAGATATTTAATTATACTATTAATAGTATTCACTACCACTTTACACGTTTGGAATCCCTATTGATTCAAGCCAGAGTACCTGGGTTTATTGGAATTTACTTCTTTCTAGTTAAAGATAACAATTCCAAACTTATATTTCAACACTGTTCAGCAAATTTGCGTAACATGATTTACTTCTTGCTCGTTTGAGACTGTACACAACTAGAAAGTGGAGGGGAAAAAGAAGAAGCTAAAATTTGTCTATAATATAGCCGAGTCTTATCTAATATTGTGTATCAAAATACTCTTTGAGTTTCAGCATAGTCATAAATATACGACAGAATCCTTCGATCTTCTACCATTTTTCTGTCCGAGGATTTTGTTGAAGAAACTGTCCCGAAATGGCTGCTGCAAGTGCTGATTTGAAATTGGGATCTTTTGTTAATGTAGAAGCCATTTGTTCCACTAGATACTGTTGAAATTGTGGTGTACCCATTTTCCTGTCTGAATCAGTTGCTGGCTTTGGTTTTGTAAGATCAAGTGTAATGGTCTGTGCAGACGAGCTTAGAGGCGTGGTCGAGCAAGGGACCGTGCCAAGTGTCACACCTCGGCCGGAGCCAGAACTGGGCTCGGGTTTCGAGGGGTGAGGATGGTTGTGCTCTCCTTCATAAGTTGCTACTAGAATAGATTGATCCTCTATACTTCTTTGAACCTACAGAAAGATCATGAAATAAAAGGCCTTAGAAATCTAAAAACTTGAGAAAATTGGAAAAATTAACAACTCTTGAAAAGGATTAATCTTTTTCAATTAAAACAAAGTTAAAATCTGTTTGATTATAGTGTTCAATCCTATCTACTACTATGTACCAAACCTTCGTTAATTACATACCTTCTTTTTTACTGGACAGCTTGGAGCAAAAGAGCATTTGAAATAAGCTCTCGGAGAAGGATTGTCCCTGGTAACCTTCTGTCCATACTTCCTCCATTGATATCCATCTTTAACAATCTGTAATTTGAATAAAGCAGTTTTTAAGCACAGGAAATAGACCAAAGTTCAACAACTTTACTTTACAGTTTCGTAAACAAGATTTTAACCTTTTTTTTCCCTTAATTTCTATTTAATATTGTCCCTTCCGGCATAACAAACGTGCGAAGGAGAAGAAATTCTAAGATTTCTCTCAATATATATCTCGATAAATTACTCTTTTTCCACACTTATGAGAAGTTTCTAAGAATTGAGATTGACTTATAATTACTTACAAGGCTTGTATCAGATGCTTCAGTTCGTACGCTGGCACGCGAAATCTTTGGTTTGATGTGTTCTTCCCTTTGTTTCTTGCATGAATCTTCATCACTTGAACTGCTCTCGGAAGGGCATTTGGTTCCATCTGTATTGCCATTGTTGTTGCTGCTATCAGCTTTCCTTTTTCTTGATGCATCATTATCCACTACAGAATTCTTGCTTATGTTCGTCAATCGGTCTCGCAATTCGTTGTAATTCTCACACATCACTGTTAATAGTTCTGTCAGCTTCTTGTTTTCAGCACTCAACCGGTTTAGTTCCTCTATTAACGCACCTTTCTGAGAAAAAAAAAATGTTAAGGATTCCATTTTTTATCATTCTTGAAATATGGAACAGTTTCTGCGTGTGTTAATAAGCTAAAATCATGATAAAAATACTCACCTCTTCTTTCACTGTAATATTTCTTCCCAACTCAATAAAATCACTTGGCACCTCTTGTTTCTGAAACAAAAAAAAGCTAGATTAGCACAAGGAATGTGTCGGTGATAGGATCGACTTAAAAAAAAAAAAAAAAAAATGGGTTCGTCCGTCAATATTCTTGAAAAGCCGAAAACTAAGATCATGTTTGGTACATGAGATTTATTGCTCACAGCTCAAAAGGCAAGATTTTAAATCGTGTTTCTCTCAGATCCTCTCTACCAAACATGTCATAAGTACAGTATATATAGTTCTAAAGAGTCACATACCCGCAGCAGTGGTGCCTCGTCGAGAATTCTTAGTGGTTTGGCATTAAGATCCAATGGGTTCGTCCGTCAATATTCTTGAAAAGCCGAAAACTAAGATCATGTTTGGTACATGAGATTTATTGCTCACAGCTCAAAAGGCAAGATTTTAAATCGTGTTTCTCTCAGATCCTCTCTACCAAACATGTCATAAGTACAGTATATATAGTTCTAAAGAGTCACATACCCGCAGCAGTGGTGCCTCGTCGAGAATTCTTAGTGGTTTGGCATTAAGATCCAATGAAGTATTCAGCAGGCTAGTGAATTCCATAGCTTCAGATACTGAAGTTTTGCAAGTTTTTCAAAGTGCTTCAATTTCTTCAGAAAATGCTCTCAAATTGGTCAAACTTCTGTGTTTATCTAATGTTTGAAGCAAAATCCAATGAAGAGAAGATGTATATATAATACATAGACCTTATCAAGTGGTAGGAAGGTAGAGAGGAAGATGTGAAGAGTAGTTGATAAAATAATCCTATTTTGTCATTTATTTATAGCCGAAATGGAACTCAAAGTTGGTCGTCGGCAGGAAAAGTAAAAGGTGGGTTCGTTGATTACAAGAAGTCGGTATTAACTGTACAGCAAAATTTTCACTTTTAAGTACAACATTTTTAAAATCTTTTTTATTTTTATTTTTTTATAAACTGACCTTTTTTTTATATAGAAAATAATAAAAGATGTACATACTTTCAAGCAAATTAAACGAAACTTTTAAGCACAATTAAACACTTTCGGAGTCATATAAGTAGCAATGAGAAAGCAAAAAGTGTATCGAAAAAAAAAATTCAAATAGAGGAAATTAAAGTGGTTGTTTAAGTTTTAACCATGATTTCTAAGGATCCGTTTGATTGTAAAAGTGGAAACGACAAATTAATTCCATGTAAGTTGAAAAAGAAAAAATCAACAAAATTATAAGAATTCGATTTTCACTCCATGCTTTAAATGTTTGTACTTTGAAATTTGAACTTTATTTTCACTTTTGTATCAAATAGTTAAAAGTAGAAAACGAATGCTCGAATGTGACATTTTTTATAAAATTTAAGGTAACTCGTTTATGATTAAGAAAAGACTTGGGAAACATGAGGATTGAAATTCTTTGGAGAAGTCAAAGTCAAGCCCACCTTTGTTAGGAAGAAGATGACGAGGTACGTACCTTTAGTTGAACTCCTATATTGACCGATCTTCTCGTGTCTTTATCCATAACATTAATATTAATATTAATAATATTAATATATGTCAGTGTGAGTGGACCAGGACGAGTAATTTAAGTGGTATAGGTTGCGTATTAGTCACGTTTGTACTCGTGTTTCATGTTATTTTGTATTTTACTAGTGGAAGAACTTTGTTACATGACGTACGTGGTTCTCTGTCGGTCACCTGTAACGTGACGGTATACTCTGATTTAAATACTAGTTTATGCTCTAAAATGTTTAATTGTTAAATTTGATTGAAAAAAAAAAAAAAAAGGTTAAACCCTAACCTTAAGGATCCCTCACCACTCCTGCCCTGGAGTATCGTGAGGAAGGTAAATCGCAGGTTATGCCTCCAAGGGTACAGGGTGGAAGGCTGCTTGTACACTTGCACTTACCCAAGAGTCAAATCCATATTTCAGGATTCGAACCCTTGACGCAGCAGCCTCAAGCAAAGTTGAATTTCTCCACCCTCCCCTTTTACCACTTGGAGATGTGCCCTGGGGGCGTTAAAGTTGATTGAATATTGACTAAAGGCTCTTGTATTGATAAATTGGATCTTGGAATTAGGATTGTAAAACAAAAACTACAGAGTAGAAAAATTGAACTGAAATCATCAAACGTCAACGGGATTGATTTGATCCAAGATAAGAGTTCTAAAACGACTTGATCTATGTTTCGAAGTTTTATTTGAAAACAAATTAGATACCTTTAAATAATAAAAAAATTAAATTTCTACCATAATTAGATTGATAAATTGCCACCTTAACCTCTAAATAAAACATAATTATTAATATTTTAATGCAAAAATAGAAAATTTGATCAATTGTCCATTACCAAATTTTGTAATTCTCCTCATTTCACAACTTTCATTGACAGTTAGTCCATACAGTATACACCAAAGTCGAAACCCTCTTCGTCTTCTGTTTTCACGCCGCACAAGCTCAAAACCAAGAAGCTCCACGATATTGGCGTTTTTCACTCTCAAATCAATGGCAACGATGACACTAGTGATTTTATTGTCATTTTTCTTTAATTTGATTGATATTTAAATTTATAATTTTGCTTGATATTTTTACGTTTGAATTTTTTTCAAACCATTTTGAACGATTCTGTTTGCAAATTAGTTAAAAATCAATTTAATCGAAACACTTAACGCTTCTAGTTGAAAATATGACTAACAAGAACTTTTTGATTGACTTGTGACAATTTCAAGCCAAAAATGGAAGACAATATTATGTATTAAGTTTGGTCTCATGGCATATTATGAATATGTAGTAGAATCGGATATTATTATGCTACTTTTATTCACATATGCATTTTGAATTATTCATAAGTACTATCTACTGACACATCACGTATTTTTACCTATTTATAAACACTTCACAACGTGATTTGTAGACTTATTTTGTAGAGACAAATATCCAATTTCAAAAATTAAGAACTAAATATATGTATGCATGATACGCATTTCAATGATACTTAATGTCTATCATTATTGCCCCCAGGGCATATCTCCCAGTGGCAAATGAGAAGGCGGATAGTGTGCAGAGTTCGATTCCCCACAAGGTGGAATTGGCTTTGTTGCAAGCGGAAGTTACCATATGGGTTAACAGTCTTGGTCTATCCATGTGCTCTTCACCCTGGCTCCTGGGAGGCACATCCTGCGATTTACCTCCTCCACGATGGCCCAGGACAGGGTCGGTGGGGGCCCATAAGGTTGGGGTTCAACCTTTTTTTTTTTTTTTTTTTTAATGTCTATCATTATTTACTTAATACAGTCACCAATATCGTTCATTATTAATATCTATATGCACGATACACATTTCAAGAAAACTTCATGTCAATCATTGTTTAATTAATATAATCATTAATCGCCAGTAAAAATATTTATTATATATACACGAAAAACAAATACAGTAAATAACCAAGCTATTGACGATTAAATCAAAATTCAGCTAAATATTTTTATACACAAAATCTGTCTTAGGCATTAGAGTCTCTTTGATTGTCCCATCTCAACCTAGAGCTCTATGATTGATAGACTTATTTTGTGGATTTTTCAGTTTCTGTTCATATGAAGTTAAGCCCTAGTTCGATTTCCATTATTTTAAAATATATTTTTTTTCCATCTTCTTTTTAACAACATATTCTTTAATAAAATAATATTAAATATAAATACAATTTTTTTTTAAATTTTTAATCACATATTTTCCATTATTCTACCATTCAAAAATACATTTTTCATCCAAACTGGGCTCAAACCAGCCCTAAATAACAAATTACAAATAACGAATTTAAAGAAGAAAAGTACATGTAAAAAATTATTAATTATTCTGCTCAATTCTTTATGTCGAACATGCTCTTTTTTGGAAATTTGGAATACGAGAACTTGATAAAAAAGTTGACACGACATCAATATGAATATCTTTCATGTGATCAACATTATGTTGAGTGATCAAAGTAAAATAAAAAATTAAATTGAAACAAAATAAAGTTGGACAAGACATATAAAACTTAATTGTAAATAGCGACAGGCGGCGAATTGCCCAGCACGGAGTTAGTCTCCAATCACCAATAGGTGTTCTAGAAGCGGAATCCAGTACTGAAAGTTGCACCTGTTTTTAAATTATCATTTGAAAAACCTCAACTTTTCTACGTATTTCACACGAATACACTTTCTTCTATGTTGAAAACTTGAATCACACTTTAACTTTATATCAATTGGAACAAATGCAATGAACTATAACGACGTGTCAAAGTTGGCTTCTGTTTTGGCATCAAGATTCAACACAATTTAATAAAAATTGTTTATATCTTAAATATTTCAATTTCTCATTTGGTCCTATCTTCTCTTGTACATTCCTTTAACTAGAATTGGTATCTCGCGATCGTCTCGTGAAAAATATATATTCTAATTTATTTAAGCGTTTATCTCGTTATATATTTGTTATTTAACCAATTTACCTCCCATTAAAATTATAATTTTTTTTCTCTCTTCTTTATCAATTACACATCCTCCAATAAAATATTATTAAACGTAATTTCAAAATCTTTTTTTTTTAACCACACATTCTTTGAGGACAAAAAATATTATTTCAATCATTAAAATATTTTTACCAGATAACAAGACCAAACGGGGCTAAAGTAACCATGGATAATGGCTGCTAGTTTGTATTTTTTAAGTACAATAATGTTAAGTTGACTCTGACAATAGACACGACTTCCACTTGTTCCTCGCCCCTTGTCCTCTATTTTTATCCTATGTCAACTGTTGTCAAAAATAGAGGATTTGCATGCCCACAATTATGACTAAACAATGTGTTTGTTTTGTAATGATATTATTTTTTTACCAATTAAATAGACGGATAAGAAAGTCGAGAGTCTTGTGTTTGACACTTCTAACATATCCATCAATGTTACTAAAAAAATGTACTTCATGTAACAATTGAACAAATGGAACACTATTTTGGAACTAAAGCATTAAAAAGAATGTCATTGTCGCTTCTTCTATATAATGAAAAAATATTGAATCTACTAAAAGCGTATATACCTTAATTTAGAGGAAAGTTTTTCATACAATTGAGAAAATTGTTCCTCTCTCTAAGTGGTTCGGGTTTGACCAAATATTGTCATATCGAGGACATAATTTTTATCATAATGTCTTTTGAGTGAGTAAATCACAATCCGATTCTGCCAGAACAAGTGACACGGAATAAGAATTATAGTATAATATTAGTGTTATGTTAGGGTACTTTTAACTAAACACTCATGTATAATCAATCATGTTAGCGATCAATCCCTGAGAGTTTGAGACCCAAAAAGATTAAGGATAAAGAGTTGTCAAGACTTTTAGTCAAGCTGTAGTGTTCGAGTTTGAATTCGTTCCATTTTCACCTCATCGTTTAGTATGTTAAATATATTCTAAAGAGTAATGATGGTCATAGTCATTCACTGCGATACTCGCCCTACGTGGCATCCAACATGACGATTTTGTGATTTAATGTATTAATATAGTAGTTTTGTATAGCCTCATATATCAAATCACTAACAGTTACATGTATGCAACGTAAGATGACTGCGATAGTAAATGACTGCAAATAATATTATTCTAATACGTTAAACATCAGAAATAGAGAAGACAAGTAAATCACAGCTTTCAAAATTAACGTAGAAATTTATATAAAGGGAGGTCCTAATTATTTTTCCTTATTGGGGCGTACTTCAATTGCAAACTAGGATACAATATTCACACTTCAGCCTTGAATTATTAT